GAGTAAAGCCCACTCCCCTAAGGTTGCCAGGCCAGTCCAGTCTGCTGGCTAATGGGGTGATTTCATTTTTCAGCCACTCTACCGCTCTTTCTCTTTTGCTTGGAGGACTGATTAGTCAATGCAGGTCCACTAGCCCAGGAATCATGGAGTATCTAGGTTTGCACAGCACGGCTGAACTGGGAAGAGGGGCTTTGGCAAACAAACACTGGTTCCTCTTCTGATCTTGAATGGATTGGGTTTCTGCATTTGCACAACGTGCTGGATCTGGAAATGCCCTGGCCGCGGGCACTGCCCGAAAATTATGCCAAAGTGGCAGCGTCAGGAGAGGTCCCCAGAGCCACATCGACGGGTTTGTGCCAGGCTCTGGTTGTATGCTTCTCACCTACAATAATCAAGGATCTCCTTCTAAGATTTCAGAGCCGGCTGGAGTCGAGCAGCGTTGCGATTGAATGAATTAAAAAATAAAATGGGGGTGGAGTGGGTTTTGTATTCGGGATTTTTATTCCTGTAAGCCTCCTGGAGTCACCGTGAGTGAGTTGGGCAGCCATATAAATTGCTAAAATTCTATTCTATTCTATTCTATTCTATTCTATTCTATTCTATTCTATTCTATTCTATTCTATTCAGACCCATGTTTTCCCCCAGTCTGAATAGGGGATTCAGCCTTTCGGCATGGCACTTCTCCCTTCCCCCTGTCTGCCTGCCTGCCTGCCTGCCTGCCAGCCTATTTATTTTATTATATTTATATAGCTGCCCCTCTCACAGAAAAGTGACTCTAGGCGGCGCACCATAAAAACAATCGTAAAATCAAACTATTAAAGCAAGTCCAGCCTGCTCAAGATCAGCCCTGGCTCCTTTTAGCTGGAGACACGCAATGCCTTTAAGGCTGGTGGAAATGCTGGCGTGGTTGTGCACGTGTGTGTGCACGTGTGTGTGCAGGGACACCCGCAGAGGTTGACGAGGCTCCCTGGTTTCTGCACATCATCTCTCTCTCTTCCCTGCCCAGGTATCTTTGCCCACAACTCGTGCAGCCACCATGTCAGCCACGCCATGCTGGCCGTGGGCTACGGCACCGCGCAGGAGGGTGGCAAGGCCATAAATTATTGGATCCTAAAGAACAGGTGATCATAGAGGGGATGGGACGGGGTGGAGGAGGAAGGGTCCCGAGAATCAGACCCTGGGGTCTTTCTCTTCACGTGACATCTCAGTTATTTCATCAACTGGTTTGGCTAGGAGAGAGTGGCGGGGGGCAAATTGATTCCTTTGTTAGATTGAAAGCCGGCTGGGGGACTTTGGGCCAGTCCCTCCCTCTCAGCCCAGCCCACCTCACAGGGTGGTTGTTGTGAGGAAAATAGGAGGAGGAAGGAGTACTAGGTATGTTTGCCACCTTGAGTTATATATTAAAAAGATGGGATAAAGCAACAACAGCAACAACTCATAGTTTCTTCAGGAATTTGGAGTGGTTTACAATCGACTCTCCCTCCACAACAATAACCCTGCAAGGTAGGCTGGGCTGAAGGGGACTGGATTCACATCTTGCATTAGAGCCATAACATGGTTTGTTTGGGGTTGGCTTTGGGTATGGCGTGGGCCAAGCCCGTTCTGGGTTCCGCAACAGACCATCATCAAGCAGACCATGGCTTAGTGATTGGAAGATCATTGGCTCGGCGGAAATCAGTCCTTGACTTCCTTAACCGACTGAACCCAAGTTGCCCCGTTGCTCATAAAACATCTTTGCCTCTTTCCCCACTTGGCTGTTTCCTTTACTAAAAAAAGAAAAAAGGCATTAAAAATTAACCGGCAGAATGAGGATTAGACGGGGCGCTTGTGAAGTGACCTCCCATCTTTTCCGGCAGATATTTTCAAAAAACCCAAAATGACAAACTCAGCCTTGGCCACGCTGAGGACGGGGGCCAGCTGCCGCAGAACGGAGGCGGCTGAACCTCTCGGTCGGCCAAGGGTTCAAAAGCCATTGCTTTTGCCGCGCATGGCCAAATGTCCCCCTGCTAATCTCCCTTTTTCCTTTCCTTCTGACTCTTCCCCAGCTGGTCCGAGAAGTGGGGCGAGCAGGGCTACATGCGACTGGTGAAAGGCGTTGATAATCACTGTGGGGTGGCTAATCAAGCTTGTTACCCCATCATGTAACAGCCCCCTGCCTTCCCGCGGATCCAGCATCGTGTCTCCCCAGATCTTCTTCACGTTGGAGCATCAACCCTTCCGCCAAGCTGTTTCTTGCTGGCATCGTTGCCCCAAATGAGCTGGAAAGTTTAAAAAGCGAAACTTGCTTCTTCCTGGTTTCTGATCCTACCCTTTTCCATGGTTTGGAGAGTGCTAAACAGCTTCTTACGATGAGTGGAATACAGTGCGCCACTTTTAATAAATGTTCTTTCGAACCTGTCGGAGTCCCAGTGGGGTGACTTCTTCCTCTACCCCTTCCCCCCCCCCTTTCTTCTATTTTGCACGAATGTGCATAGTTGCGCAGTTATTCCTCAGCGTGAGTGTGGTTTGCGTTAAAAGAAATCGCGGTGGGTCTTTGTAGATGTTGGGGAGAATCCGTGAATTTTGTAAACGGTTGCCTTATTTTATGGACAATTCATTTCATCCCTCGCTGTTCTCCCCGCCCGTATGCGAGTGTGTCACACACGTGTGTATGTGTGAAGGAGGATGCAGAACTCCAGGATTTCGGCTGCAGGTTGTCAGAATGGGAAGGCTGAATAGTGCCACGGATTTTTGTCGGTGTTCATAATGTTTTCCCTGGACCTTTTTGGGGGGAGGTATCCTCTTTAATTTAGGGTTTTCTTCCTTTAGAGCAATGTTTCTCAACCTTGGCCCCCCTTTAATATTTTTGGCTTCTTCACCCCTAAGGGATATGTTGGGGGGGTCAGCTCCCAATATAAACAATGACGAAGGG